GGCGGGGCTCGGGGGGCGAGGGGAGACCTGGCGGGGCCTGGGCGTCCGCGGGGAGGTGGACCGCGCTGCCGTCCCAGGTCGGGCAGGGGGACCGCGAGACCCGCGGGGTCACCCAGGCGGTGGTGGCCGGAGAGCCGGGCGGAGACTGGCTTCAGAACGCCCGGGGAGATGTGGGGCAGCGATTCAAGGGAACCTCACGTGGGAAGAAAGCGGCGATTGGAAGGCGAGCTGCGGGGCGCGGGGCAGCGGCCGAGAAGCAAGAGCGTCCACACGGCGTGAGCGCGGCTCCGGCCCGGGTTATTGCCGCCGTCCCCCCTTATCTGCGGCTTGGCTTTCCGCGGTTTCAGGCAACTGCGGTCCCAATATGTTCACTGGAAAATTCCAGGAATAAACTTGACAGTTTTAAGTTGCCCGCCGTCGTGGGCAGTGTGATGAAATCTCGCCCGGTCCTTGCTCAGTCACGAAGGGGCGGTGAATCCACGCTGGAGACGCTGCCCACCCGTCAGTCCGAGTGTCTGGGTGGCAGTGCTTGTGTTCAAGGCACTGTTATTTTACTTAATAGCGGCCAGAAAGCGCCAGAGTGGTGATGCTGGCAATTTGGATATGCCAAAAAAAAAGTTGTAAAATGCATCCTTTAAGTGAAAAGGTGAAAGTTCTCAACTTAATCAGGAAGGGGGAAAAAAATCATATGCTGAGATTGCTGAGGTCTATGGTTAAGAATGTTCAGTCCATGAAATTGTTATAAAGGAAAGGAAATTCATGCTAGTTTTGCTGTGGCACCTCACACTGCAAAATTTTCTGCCTGGGTTTGTGGTAAGTACTTAGTTCAGATGGAAAGGGCAAGAAGTTTGTGGTTGGAAGACTTGAACAGAAAGTGAGTTCCAGCTGATGGCAGGGTGTCAAATGGGCCAAAAAACACTGAGCATGAAGACTTCAGTGGATCCCCTGAAAGGAGTGACACTAAGCCATTTACTTGCAAGTAAGGAATAGTTATACAGGTTCAGAAATAGGTTTGGAGTGAAAAACATCAAAATTACAAGGCAAGTTGCTGGAGAAGAACTTGCTAATATGCTTGGTAAAGAAGTGGAAGAACAAGGGGCATCGGGAAGTGTTAACAAGTAAGGCACTGAAAAAACTTGTTGAGTCATCTGTAAAGATAGATGATGATGATGATGAAGAAACTGAAGCAGCGCCAACAATGTATGTTACTGGAAGTTGCTGAGGTGTTTTGAATTGCATGAATATTAAAGGACAGAATCATGGAATATGACCTGCCAATTGAATGCAGTATTAAAGTCACCCCAATGATCACAGAAGGGTTACAGCCTCTGCCACTACACTTTGAGGAGTTAAAAAGCAAGGGACAACAATTTCTGATGACAACATTCTTTCAGAAGATTTCAGTGAAAAGCTCAACTGTTGAGCATCCCCAACCACTCCACATCATCTGCTCCTGATATCCTTCCATCAGTTTTGTCATGGCTCCATGATCACCTGAAGCAGATTCCTCCTGATGCATGTCAGAAGGTCATTAGTAGCCTAGCTAGGTTAGCATGCCTGTGTCCCATCCCTTCATTTCAACACATAGGTATTCTGTCATCCCGCATCACCCCAAGAAGGGTGAGTACAGTACAATAAAATATTTGAGAGAGAACTACATGCACGTAACTTTATTATACTATATTGTTATAATTGTTCTATTTTATTGTTGCTCATCTCATACTGTGCCTGACTTATAAATTAGACTTTGTCATAAGTGTGTATGTATTGGACTGTAGCATCGTATACACAGGGTTTATTACTGTCCAGGGTTTCAGGCATGCGCTGGGCATCTTGGCATATATTCCCATTGGGTCAAGAAGGGCTACTGTGATATCTAATGAGCATGAAAACTTTTTTTTGTATGTTTGGTTTTTTTTGAGAGATTTTTGTTATAGGGCACATGTACTTGCCAGAGATACACAGAGACAGAAAGCAAGAAATCATCCCACCCCTCCCCGCTACCACTGGGGGAATGACGACAGAGCAAGCCCTTCTCCTCTATTCCCCTCTTGGGATTTTGGGCATGCACACGCGCCTGATGTGACTTGGGAATTGAACTGTGGTCGACTACATGGGAATCCAGCAATGTAACCATTACACCATATACTGGTCCTCATGAAAGTGTTTTTTAAAAAATCAGGGGCCTACAAGTGGCATGATGGTTGAGATGCTGGACTCTCACGTGGCTGACTGTGGTTCGTGTCCCAGGCCTGGAAACTTGCTTTCCTGCTTACCTTTTCTCTCTCGCTGGTCAAATTAAACAAGTAATAATTATGGTAATAAATGAAATAAAATAATTATTAAAAAAAGACATTTATAGTAATCCCATTTTAGATGGTTTACAATTTAAGGTGAAGGTAAAGTTCTTTTGGAAGGACAGAAAAAGGAAAATGAAATGTTTGGGGGAGGGAATACACAAGCCTAGAGAAATGGAAAAACAGATTTAAAGAGAAGAGTGCTGAAAGAAGCAGCTAAATATACTTTCAAGTGGTGCAGTTATCTGTTTGCAGGGAAGGGTTATCAGATACAGTAAAGCCACTGGATTCTCTACACTCTCAAACAAAAACAGAAGATAGAACCCGTCATCTTTGTGTAATGGACAGTCCTCAGGCTACAAAACAGCTTAAGTGTTTAATATTTTTTGACTGAGTGGGATTCCATGTTAATTTCATATTTTTTAAAAATAATTTACTTAATTTTATTATTATTATTTTGAAATTTGACCAGTAAGAGACTTAGAGAGAAAGGGAAAGTGAGAAAGCAAACCACCAGGTCCAGGATTCAGACTGCAGTTGGTCATATGGGAGTCCAGCACCTTAACCATCATGTCACTTGCTGGCCCCTGAATTTCACATTTGATAATATCACATTTGATATTGACTTGTATTGTCATTCTGGTAGCTTCCATACTGTATGGAATCTGTAAATGGTTGAGTAATGCTGAGGTGAGTGTCATTGAATATTCACATTGTTAAGGATATTCAGTATGCTTTAGGTTTTATATATCTTCAAGTCCTTGTAGATGCCTGGTGTAGGCCAGGCATCATTTGTATTGTAGCAGCAAAACTGGGAGCAGACTCAAGATTTAATTATCCTGACTTGGTGAATACTTTTTAAGACCTTCCAATGCACTTACTTTGATTTCCCTTTGAAAACGTCTGCAGTATTCCTTCTACTATTTTGAAATAAAGGTTTTAAAAAGAGATTAAAATACCACTTATTAAATGACTAACAATTCAGCTAGTTAAACCGTGTTATGTATAAGCATAACTATTGTTGAACAGCAATTAAGCATTAGAGTTAGGGCCAGCAGGTGGCTTGGTGGTTAAGGCACTGGACTCTCACATGACTCACCACAATTTGGAACACAGTGGCTTGAAAATCATGCCGGTGTGTGTGTGTACATGTGCGTGCCCAAAATCCCAAGAGGAAAATGGAAGAGAAAGGACTTGCAGCATGGCTGTCCCTGGGGGGTAGAGGGGTGATTTCTCACTTTCCTTCTGTATGTGTCTCTCTTTCTGGCAAGTGCATGCGCCATATGGCAAAAATCTAAAAAAGAAACAATAGCAGGGTTGACACTAAATGAATGAGGCTAACACCTGAAAGTAGTACTTATTAATTTCTCATATGATATCGAATGCATTTAAAAATGTGATATCCCATTCTAGATAATTTAGTAGTCAGTTTCCAAATCTGTATTCGTTTAAATTTTATATAAAAAATTTACATTATGCATGGGTGTGGGGGAGAGGCAACTTGAAAAAGTTCATGAAGGAGGCTGGCAGGTGGTGCAGTAGTTAAGGGCACTGGACTCCCACATGGCCAACTGCAGTTATGGTCCCGGACCTGGCGGCTTGCTTTCTCACTTTCTCTCTTTTTCTTACTCTGTCCCTCTCTGGTCAAATAAAAAATTAAAGAATGAGTGAATAAAAAATATTTTAAAAAAGGATTATTTAATTTAATTTCTTTTATTTATTTTAATTTGACCAGAGAGGAACAGAGTGAGAGAGACAGAAAGCAAGAAAGCAAGTTTCCAGGTCTGGGACTCGAATTGTTGTCGACCATGTGAGAGTCCAGCGCCCTTAACCACCACGCCACCTGCAGGTCCCAAATAAAATAATTCTTTTTTTTTTTTTTTAAAGGGGGGAAGGGGGGGCTGGCAGATGGCATGGTGGTTAAAGGCATTGGACTCCCACATGACTGACTGCTGTTCAAGTCTTGGACCTGGCGGTTTGCTTTCTCACTTACTGTCTCTCACGCTCTGTCCCTCTCTGGTCAAATTAAAATAAATAAAGTTGAATAAAATAATTCTCTTTTAAAAAAGAAAATGTTGGGACCAGCAGTTAGTGTAATGGCTATGTCGCTGGACTCCCATGTAGTTGACCATAGTTCGCGTACCGGACCCGGTGGCTTAAAACTCACGCTGGGCGTGTGTGCATGCTTGCCCAAGATCCCGAGAAGAGAATGGAGGAGAAGGGATTGCGGCGTGGCCATCCCCCCTGGGGAGTGATTTCTCGCTTTCTGT